TTTATTAGGTTTCCTTCTCAAAGCTGGCTATCCCCTTGACTTGATCAAATCACAAATTAACAAAGCATCCACACAGTCCCGTTCTGATCTACTCGCTTACAAGCCCAAAACTCAATCAGAACGCATCCCCCTCATATTCGAATTCAATCCTTTCAACAAGACTGTCACCAAAACTATCAAAGACGACTTCTCGCACCTCCAACTCGACAAATCCATACAACACTTATTTAATACACCACCTATTCTTGCAAACCGCCAGCCACCTAATTTGAAATCCCTTCTCACTTTCTCACCCATCACTACTAAACCTCCTGCATTTGGCAATATGAAATGTAATAAGCCTCGCTGTCAAATGCACACATGTTATAACGAAGGGCACAATCACGCTCCCAGTCACTAACCACAAAATTCACCCCCCCTCAACTCACATGTGACTCTACCAACGTGATTTACATCATAATGTGTAATGCATGTGGTCATGGCACCTATTTATGTAGGCGAGACCGGATGTAAACTTAGATTGAGACTCAACATCCATAAAAAATCAGAGATCAGCAAAAGGGCTTCCCTGTGGCTGACCACTTTAATTCATTGAACCATTCTATTAGTGACTTGCGCTTTTTAATCCTAGGTACCGATTTCAGATCTACTAAGGCTAGAAGATGTGCTGAGATCCGTTGGATCCTCCGTCTTAAATCTCATATTAAAGGTTTAAACAAAGACTTGGGCTTTATGAGCGACTATTCTTTTTTTGAAATAGCATTTCTACATTTTGCCTGAGATTTATCAGTCTCCCCTATTCATGCTTGTAACTGTCATGCATTTCAGCTGCACTTTTTTGGCTCTTTGGTTGATTAACTTTATGATTAACTTTATGCTTATACTGTGTACTTGATAATTTATTCCATTCGCACATATATTTATGCTCGTCTTTTTCTATAATCTATATGATGTTTATAGCAATATACTATGTATAGGATTCATGTATTTGACTTTTAACGGGGTTTTGCTCCGCCTCTATCTAGTCACCTTTATGATTGCTTTCTTTATATGATGCCAATAGTTCTGTACATTTCATTAACGCTGAAGAAGTCTGAATAAAATAAAAATAGAAATTAGGTGAAAGTGCTCCTATACTATTTTCTCTCAACATCCGGGAGACCTGTTTACATGTAATTGTGCTGTGCATGGTGATATGATTGCTACTAACTGCTGGGAGACAATTAATAATACAGAAGTAATAACTTGTAAAAACAAGCAGATATCGTCATGAATATGCGGGAGATGATATATTTCGGAAAAAAGGTTGCTTGCTCGCGCAGGAGGGACCCCTAATGCCGATTTCCAGGAGACTCCATTCCGAGATTCTGCAGGAGACTTGCCTGGGCACTGAATGTGGTCTTTAGATTTCTTAAAAGGAAATTAAAAAAATAATACATTAAATGTGTTAAAATTGACATACAGTTACTGTTATATTCTTATTAAAACATTTAATGGTAGCCATTAAACTTGTCTTTCCATTAATATATTAGGCCTACTAACATTGTAACTATCGTTATTTAATACACACAATACACTGTACACAAAACAGTGCATTGACTAATATTTCTATTTGTAAGTCATAAAAAACAGTCTTTATTGTAGAAAAAAAGTGCATTAACATCACTATTTTTGTAGTGGTCTATAATTGGAGGGAAAACCAAAACCAAAACCATGGTCTATGGTCTATGGTCTCTAAAATAGAGGAGGGAATCTAATTGTAGGGAACAGCTATTGATAAAAGATATGCATTCAACCAAG